GAAACAAAAATTAAAAAGCCTACGGATTGAGAGATCGTTGATCTTTAATTCACCAAGGATCAAGTCTGAAGCTCCTCATATAAAAAAAATAGAAGCGATCCTGATCCACCTCAGATATCCATTGTTCTGAATCGCAGTGTTTGCAGCCTGGATCTTCTTATTCAATGTTTGACTGAGATTTTTTATTATCTGTGACAGATCATTATGAAGTCGGCTCTGAAGCTCTGAATCAACAAATTAACAAATAAACATCAGCTTCCCAGTTGAGAGCGCACACATTAAAAAAACTATGGAAAGCCGAAGAGGCCATTCTAAATAACTTCTCAATTCATAATCTCCAGTTTACCAGGGGACACTAAAGATCCCAAAAATATATTGTGATCCAAACACAGAAACGTTGCAGTAGATCAAAATAGCTAGTAATATCTTTCTTTCTATATCATGTATAAGTCCCCCACACAATGCAATAGTCACCAAAACACACACAATTGACTAACATGTATATTTCTGATTTTTCTGCACCATTTATTATAATCTAAAAAAAAAAACTTCTTGTTGAGAAATAAAAATGTAAACAGAGCTCTTCTTTTACCCTCCTTTGTCCTTTGTAAATGAAAGCCCGATACTAAATTGTGTTTTTAAAATAGTTTGAAGTACAAAAAGCTACGCAATCCGTTTAATCCATAGGTTTAATCGCACGGCTACCAGTGTTTTCTAATCTACTGCCGATACATTCTCAGGACTTGTTTTCACCCAAACGGGGGCGTGGTTACTCTGGCGAGCCGGAAGTGACTTTCGACTGCTCTTATGAATGGTCATTCCGTTGACTTTTGTGCGTTTGGTGTGTGCTATGTATACCTATACATAGCTTTACACAATTAAGGTGACATAATTGTAATGTGTGGGATAATGTTTATGAATAAAGTTTTTTCAATTATCACAAAAAAAATCCAATGGACTGTTGCACATTCCTTTGATCTGAGCATTCTATGACATCATGCTTTTGATCTGAGCATTCTATGACATCATGCCTTTGATCTGAGCATTCTATGACATCAGGCCTTTGATCTGAGCATTCTATGACATAGATCTCCAAGAGAGGCAAAGCTCAGACAGAACACAGTTAATAGGCGAGTTTATAGTCAGTTGGGCAGTTTACAGTAGTTAGAACAGTTCACAGTCAGTATACTTACTTTGATTTAAGACAACTTTAAAAGACATTTAAAAATGAATTTTGAGAGTTTGTATCAAAACGGACTTCAGAGTGAGTTGGAATGTGTTACAAGAGCAGTCAGCCTCTCACAACCAAACAACCTCCATGAATTTTTACTTCAGTATTTTACAGAATTGATCAGCTATCGAGAATCTCAGCCAGAAATGGATCCCAAGATCATCATCTTGAGACAGCACAAGCTATGGGGTAAGCTACTGTTCCATTATATCATATGTTTTATTTAAGTTTACTTATTTTTGGTGTCCTGAGCTAGTCACTTGAGTAATTTAAGTAGTAATATACAAATCAATTTCAGGTTTCTTAGATTGATTTTAAAAGGCTAACATAATATATAATAACTTTTGAATAAGTGTATAATTCAGGCAAGATGATTCAAGGTATTAAGTATTAATCATTGCTTTGTAGAAGGTGTGGGCCAGTTTAGAATCTGAGATGTAAATCGTATTAAGAAAATTCCATTTCATTATTTTGGAAATTTTTGGAATTTAAAATGTTCTTTTCCAGAGAAAAATTTCAAGAAGGGAATGAAGAAAAGTCAGAAGTCTTCTACCACCACTACAAAAAAGATATCTGCAGTATCTCATTGTATGCCATCTCCGGATGAGGTAAAGAATGTACTGAAGACTCTCTCCCCAGATTTGCCGTCTTCTACAGGACACATTTTGGAAAATACAGTTGGGAGACAAGTACCACAGAAAAAACAAAAAAAGACACCCAGAGTATCATGGGTAGAGGCACCTATTCAACAGCAGAGTAAGGAAACAACTGACAATGTCAAAGAAGCAACAGACAAATCCCAGCATAAGGTGCCACCAACTAAGAACAAAGATTCAACACCTGCAGGGTCAAAATCCAAGGCAGTCAGTCTGCCCTCCAAGGCCCTGAAAAAATCCACTGACACTGCCCCTAAAACACCTGAAAAACCACAGCGCATAGTAATGTCGACTCAGAAAAAGGTTCCCACACCTGAAAGTGTGTCAAAGTCCAAGGCAGTCAGTCTGCCCCCCAAGTCCCTGAAAAAATCCACTGACAATGCCCCTAGAATACCTGAAAAACGGCAGTGCATATCAACGTCGACTCAGAAAAAGGTTCCCACACCTGAAATTGTGTCGGGGTCAAAGACCAAGGAAGTCAGTCTGCCCCCCAAGTCCCTGAAAAAATCCACTGACAATGCCCCTAGAATACCTGAAAAACGGCAGTGCATATCAACGTCGACTCAGACAAAGGTTCCCACACCTGAAATTGTGTCGGGGTCAAAGACCAAGGAAGTCAGTCTGCCCTCCAAGTCCCTAAAAAAATCCACTGACAATGCCCCTAGAATACCTGAAAAACGGCAGTGCATATCAACGTCGACTCAGACAAAGGTTCCCACACCTGAAATTGTGTCGGGGTCAAAGACCACGGAAGTCCGTCTGCCCTCCAAGTCCCTGAAAAAATCCACTGACAATGCCCCTAGAACACCTGAAAAACGGCAGTGCATATTAACGTCGACTCAGAAAAAGGTTCCCACACCTGCAATTGGATCAGTTTCAAAACCCAAGTTTGTCGGTGTGCCCTCAAAACCCCTTAATAAAAACACTGACAACTTCCGTAAGACACCAGACAAATCCCAGCGTACAGTGACATCGGATAAGGAAAAGGTTTCAACACCTAAAATTGTATCAGTTTCAAAATCCAAAGCCGTCAGTTTTCCCAGCAATCGTTTAGAGACAACCTCTGACAATGTAAAGAAAACACCAGAAAACCCCCAGCGCATGGTGACACAAATTCAGGAAAAAACTGAAGACAGTAAGCACTTTCAACCTTTAAATATCCCGGTACCAATAGTTTCACAAAAGTATGTTAGTCCACCTAGTCCAAAGAATGGGATGGGAGGAGATCAGCTGTATTTAGATAAGGGTAAGGATTTCACAAATAAACCCAGGAAAGGGGCAATAATGAAAAGGGAGGTTTTGCAAGAAAAACTCAAAGCTAGCCCTCTTGTACTAGAAACTTCTTCAGGACCAAGTACTTCAGAACCAGACAGCATTAGCACAATGCAGAAATTACCAAAGATCAAGAAGCGAAAAATTCAGAAAAAGATTCAGCCCAAAATGACACCAGCTAAGCCCAAAGTACCAAAGGCTCCATGGGTAGACATCACAATACCACCAGCACCGAGGGAAAAAATTAGAGGCACTCAAGGGTTAGCTGTCGACAAAAATGATTTAATTCATAACCACACCGGCCCTTGTGAACACGGTTTTACTCTCATCGTATACAGCCGTGTAATAGCCAAACAGCCAAACCAGTAACCCCATTTTGACTTTGTAATTTTTTTTTTTGTCATCCTGCCCACTAGGTGCCCTTCAACCTTGGAAGGGGGTCCCCTCTTGTGTGATCCTTCTCAAGGTTTCTTCCTTCTTGACCTGTTAAATGGTTTGGGGGAAGTTTTTCCTTGCTCGCTCGAGGGGGAAGGAACCTTATTTTATGGGTTTTAAGTTTAAAGTTGAGTTCTGGCCATTTAGAAATGATACAACACTAAAATAATAATGATAACAACAACAATAATAATAATAATAATAATAAATGAAATATGAAATAAATAAATAAATAAATAAATAAATAAATAAATAAATAAATAAATAAATAAATAAATAAATAAATACATAAATAAATAAATCTAATTTGATGGTTTGTTTCATTGATACTCAAAGTTTACAAAAGTTTAAATGAAATAACTTTCTTTCAGTCCATGTTTGTTGAATTATTGTCTTTAATTCTCCATCTATTTTCTAATGCTTACCGTAATCAGTGTCGGTTTGCATTGGCAAAAGGCTAAGAAAGTCAACCCAGACCTCTCTTTTCCCATCAACGTTTTCCAACTCCTCCCGGGGGATTCTGAGGCGTTCTCATATGGAGATAGAGATTGTCTGAAAAAGATTTATACATATCGAAATGATATGTATAAAATTGTGACATACAAATAAATAAACTAATTTGTAAAAATAAACGTGTATTTGTAAATATATTTTAAAGATTTAAAAAATAAATATGCTTGACTTTGTGTGTGGATTCTGCATTTGTGGATCGCTTTTGGGCTTTTCTCTGGATAATTTTGAGACTTTCTTACACTGCAGTCCACAAATAAATACCCCAGAATTTGATTGCAAATACGCCCTCCCCTGAACAACCAGTAGAGGCAGCGTTGTGCAGCCACCGCTGGTTATGGTTATGGTTAGGTATTTGGCAGATGCTTTCATCCAAATTTACCGTCTGACTGCTGCAGGATCAACAACATGGAAGCTAACAGTGGACTAACTGGATGGCTAAGTAATAACTAGTGATAAGTCTATAGTCTATATCAAAATTTACCAAATAATGTAGAACACAAGTAGAATACACAAACATCAAAACTCTACTTACAATGGCTTATTTGAATAAATTATGACAGAAGATATTTTTTTGTAGTTTTTTTTATTGAAAGAAGGAATAACTATTGAAAAATGTTCAACATAACAAAGTCTTTACCTGAACCTAAGAACAAAACACAGATTCAGATGCAAGATAGTTTCACATATCTCCAGTGAAACAAAAATTAAAAAGCCTACGGATTGAGAGATCGTTGATCTTTAACTCACCAAGGATCAAGTCTGAAGCTCCTCATATAAAAAAAATAGAAGCGATCCTGATCCACCTCAGATATCCATTGTTCTGAATCGCAGTGTTTGCAGCCTGGATCTTCTTATTCAATGTTTGACTGAGATTTTTTATTATCTGTGACAGAGTCGTAACATCCCACAAAACCTGATGACCCTCAGCTGCACCGTGGGCTTATCCCGTGGATACTGTTTTGCTTTTAATATCTTCCTACCAAAAAAAATCAGTTTTTGGTTCCATTAATTTGTTTGTTACTACAATTAAGAGAAATCTACTGGCCGAATGTCATGCAACTTGGTGAAAGGCTGTAGCATGAACCCAGGGTAGAATCAGATCACATCCAACAAGCAATCAAAATCCATCTAATATAAGTAATAAATCAATTTGATCAATAAACCAGGTTTGTGTAAAATCTTCAACTGTGCTGCTCCTGTGGGTTCCTGTGGTTCCCATCCTCCCCTTTCAGAGAGGCTGGGTGATCCCAGGTATGTGTTAACTGAAATTGCTCCAACTCATCTCTACTTTTGCTGTTCCCTGAAACTGCATAGTGCACTTTAACCTTTAACCCCTAAAGAGAAAGTCTGGTTACTTTATGAATTCTTAAAGGGGAAGTCAGTTTGATTTTGCTAACTTCTATTGATCAAATCAAAAATCGATTACGTTATGAAGCATACCATCCGATGGTAAAATTAAGATTATTTTGATAAATGTTGATGTTGAGGCCGAGAGGAATATCAATGTTTATGTAGAAAGATGTAAGTCATTTTGGTTATTATGACTTTGAAGTGACTAGAACTAATTCATGAATTGAACTTGTTTTTTTTCTTAGTTAAAGTGAAAGTGAAAGCAAACAGAATGTTTACGTCATGTATCATGTTGAATGTTTTGTATGCGTTTGTTTGGGAAGTTTGGACATTTTTTTGTCTTTTGTTCAATCATGTTTAAATCTCATTCACTCCATTGGGAGGTGAGATTGATTACACCTGCAGTCAATCTGGCACTGATTACAGCGCTCCTCTCTGATTGGCCCACGAGGACAGGTAACAGGATATTTAATGTGTGTGACATCAGTAAACTGGTGGATGTGTGTCATTTTTGAGAAGGCTGTGAGGAGAGAGTTTTTTTCTGTTCGGATACATTTCTGTTTCAACTGAGAAAACTGCAACCTGGTTGTTGATTTGGTATCCTCGCTCACACCGCCTGCTATCCAGAAGTACAACAGTTATTTGGTTTGTGTGTGAAAAAATCTTGATTTTATTTTTAGGCCATATCGCCCAGGCCTAACAAGTGGACATCTATATAGTGGTTGCACTTGCATATATTGATACCAAAGACGTCTGGACTGTTATCAGAGGTCTGTGCTCTTCAAGTGTCGTTCTAGCTTCCTTAGTGAGTTTTCAGCAATGAAGGATCTAATATCCTTATAACGCTGAATCATGTTGACATTCTGAGAAAAACAAGGAAAAGTTTAAGACACTTAAGCAGAGCAAAGTGCATTCACTTAAATGTTTCTCAATTCAAGTCCCAGAAATTCCGAGCTTCTCTCCAAAACGTTGATGTTTGTTTGCTTCTTTGTGTCTTTTTTCTCCTCCCAGTATTCTCCATCACTGTTTCCTCCTCTTGTATCTGATGACCGGGTTGTGAGGCGTGTGAATCATTGTGGTGTAGTTGATTGTCGGGAAATATCCGTCCACCAGGTCAAAGTCGTACATGCGCACTAAAGTAGACCAGATGGTTTTGATCTGGACGTAGGCAAAGTTCTCCCCGATGCAGCGATGGCGGCCTGATGAGCAGACAACAAAATACAGTTTAAAATTATTTTTTAGGAACAGGTTAACTGATCATGTGGCCAGTTTAAAAAGAAGGAGCTTATATAGATTATACAGAATTTGTTTTCTTCTAAAATGTATCACTTCTGTTGAATTTTGATGAATACCACTCTTTTTACACTGAAAAGACACTCCTGACCTTAACAGAATGTCTCATAATTTAACTTTTTGTTAATTGGTTGTTCTGAACATTTTGTTCTGCACAACAGGACTTTTGGCAAATGATAGCAAAATAAAAGCAAGACACTTTATACAACTTCAACAATGCATTAAGCCAAGTCAAACCTATTTATAAATCAAGTCAACTTTCCAATAGCCTGATATCACAGGGTCTGTCTCAAAGAGATTTACATGAAATAGAAATCCAATAAAGTTGGAAAAAAAGAATATAAAACTCTTACCAGCTCCAAAGGGCACGTAGGCAAACTTCTCCCCTGCAGCCGGGTTGTCATTGAGGTAGCGGTCGGGGTTGAACTCTGTCCTTTCCACCCACGTGTCCTGCAGACGGTGGTTAACAGTCGGGGAGACACAGACCTGGTGGCCCACAGGGATGGTGTAGCCTGCTGCAGTCTGACAGGACAGAAAGAAACAGGAACAATATGATTAAAAAGTGAAACTGACTGTTATCTACTGATGATGACAGTAGATAACAGATATGTCAACTTTTAGAAATCAAGCAGGACTTGTACATGGGACAAATGTAACTGAGCAGGCCAGTTAGATTGTGGTTAGGCGTTCTTATACCTGAGGAGAGCGAGCCATTCTCATCATGGTCATGATGGGCGGGCGGAGGCGAAGAGTCTCCTTCAAACAGCGCTCCAACAAGCTGAGATCCTTCAGCTGAGAACGACATTAAGACATTATTAAGAACATATCTGTAAAGTGAATTTAACAAAAGCACATTTCATCATCGTCTTCATCATCAACCTTTATTTAAGTTCTCGGAGAGGTCATTGAGGGCGACCCTCATTTACAATGATGCTGAGAAAACATACATAAATGATAAACAAAGAGAAATTAGATAAAATCAATAAAAGAGCAATAAGAAGAATAAAATATATACTCTAAAATAATTTAAAAATTTGAAATGACTACAGTGATAAGTCAGTAATTAAATCAAATAAAACAGCTACAGTCAGGTATTGGGCGGTTAAAAATAATATTTCTAAAGTGTCCATAAGGGATAAAAGTGCTCAAATTCAGGTCCTGTTGTAAAATATTCCAGGAGTTTGCAGCAGTAACACTAAAAGCAGTTTTCCCCAGGTCAGTCCTGGCATGAGGAACCTGGAGAACCAACCTCTCTCTCTCGAGCGGGTTAAAAATGGACCAGGGTTCAGCTGTAACAAGGAGGTGATATATGATGGAAGCTTTCCAGTAAGGGCTTTATAGATAAAAAGATGCCAGGGTGTATTAGGGTGTTTTTGTATTATGGCTTACTGAATTAGACATGCTAATTTAATTATGACACTGTGTCTCACTTTATTATCGTGTTGCATGATACCCTTTTTTTCCTGAAATCATTTGTTTTAATCAAAAGTTCATATTAAAAAGTGTAAAACCTATGATGTTGTTTTTATGGATCATTTAGAGATGTTTTCAATCATTTCTAGCCTGATAATAAAGGTGATTATATGATCAGAGTTTTGCATGTAGGCCTGCACGTCAGCGCGCCTCACCTGGTCGAGGTCGAGTGGAGGCAGGTCTTCTCCACACATGGCTCTCTGCTCAGCGTAGCAGCGCTCCTGCAGGTCTTTGTCTCTGGCCAGGAAGAAACCCATCCAAGCGCTGGTGGTGGACGATGTGTGCTGACCCGCCAGGAGGAGACCGATCAGCATCCCCGCGATCTCGTTATCATTCAGGGGCTGTCCGTTTCTGAGGGGTTAAAAATATATCTACTTTAAAACTGAACAATTGTTCTAGCATCTGTTCAAACCTAATGGGGATATTTTTTTTCTGATGGGAAGCAGCAACAGACACTGAACAGTGAGGAATCAATTTCAAACCTACTATCTGTCATGATGTTCGGTTTATCAGCTTGAATGTATTTCTAATGAAAACTCTGGAGTTAAAAGTGTATTCACTTGATTTTAGAAACATAAACCCTCTCTAAAACTGAAAACTCTACCTTGCAGTATCTTGGGAAAACACTTAAAGGGATACTTGACCCGTTGAAACATGAATCTGTATTGACATTGGGTCATGTATGTAGTAGAAAAGTGAAATACATTTTTTAAGTTGGTGCCTTCTTGGCCTTGAAAAGGCAGAAAGTGTCTTTTTGGCTCATGTGGATGAAAGACACCAAATCCCAGAATGCACAGCACCGCAGGCCACTCCCACTAAGGTCCTCAATTTCAGAATCAGAAATACTTTATTAATCCCAGAGGGAAATTCGATCGATACAGTTTCTCCAAAATATACAGTATAGCAGGAGAAATATAGTAATAAAAACATTTACAGACATATTTACTTCAACACATAAGACCATTTCCTCAACTGATTCAGAGATTTCTTCCAGAAGGAATTGGTATCTTGGAAATTCCTGGCAGAAAACAGACTATGTCTGTGTCCATAGATAAACAGTGAGAGCACCGACACTGTAGTTTCACACCGCTAACCACAACAGCTTCCAGTGACGCAAAATGACGATTTTTGCGTCACTGGAAGCTCCTTTTCAGAGATTTCCCATCTCAGGGGAAAATGAGGGCGGGATGCACGACCATTCAAAAATACTACCAGGTTTCTAATGATACAAAGATTAATGCAAATGGATGAAGTACCCCTTTAATAGCCTTTGGAAAAAATAAAAATATATCTGCATGTGTCCAGCGATCAACACAAAAGGTAAACAAAAAGGTAAAAATTGGATTCTGCAGCATGAGCTATTAACTGAAAACAAGCCATTGTTTGTTCAACAGATAACATAAAGGGATATTGAATCAAACTTACTTGTATGTAGAGTCGATGAGGGTCTGAAGGATATCGTCTACTTTCTCTCCAGATTGTCTGCGCTTTTGAATCACCTTGAAGAAGATGTTTTTGATTTCTATGTGTGCTCTGTCCCTTTTCCTAAAAGAATAACATTTGTTTAGTCATTTTTTTACCCATAAAACAAAAGCTCCTCTCTTGTAATTTAATATAGAGTGTACTTCGTAAATTCAGCCTCAGCTTCATCCTGTGGCAGATGTTGGCATTGACCGTCCTACCTGAAGCTGGGCAGCGGCAGCCAGCCGGGGAGCAGCCAGGCAGCGTGACTGAATCCTCCGTCCAGGTCGGCATAAAGCTGAGCCACTCTCTCATTCAGCATGCTGCGGATCTCTTTCCCATGAAGACAGCTGCTGGCAGTCAGGATGATCAACTCAGACAGAGCCTCGAACAGATCTGAAACAGGGGAAATGTTCACGCTTATAAGCTGTGCATACTTCTGCAAACTTTCTGGATTTAAGTGAATTCTTTCAGGTGATTGAAGGTTCTTACTTCTCTCCCCGCTGTCTCCCCATCTCTGGAAATACTCTACAGTCTCTGCCTCGATAATTTTCACATGTTCCTTAAAATGAGCGATGTTTAGTCCGGTCTTCAACATCTTCTTCTGTTCCAGAAAGATCTGCAACCAAAAACAAAGTCTTAAATTAGCAGATTTTATATCAAAATTATTCATTTTCAAGCAATAACTATGTCTTATCTCTTTCCCTGATTGGTTTCTTTCTGATGTATTCATTAATAAATCTTTTTAAGGTGAACTCACAGGGTTGGGGACATCATAGGCGACTCCTTTGCCAAACACTGGAGTGGTCAGTCTGGAGTAGACGTCCTCAGCGTTCAGGTCATCATTCTTGCTGTTGAACATCAGCGTGGCTGCGTCACTGCCCAGCAGGTAAGTGAAGGTGCTCCCCACCATGGTGAAACTGAACACAGGGCCGTACTGCAGAGACACAGGGGTTCAAAAAATGACATCACAGAAATAATCAGAGGGGTGAGGTGAAAATGAATCTAATTGTCCCCATATGTGGGGAACTTTAAATACACTATACCTTACAGGTAGTTCTGTTATCGGCTCTGAAATTATCGGTTCCCTATGTGTACTAGATACACTTTGAAAATAATATAAATGCCTTTTTGATCATGCTTAAAGTAAAAAACCTACATATGTATCATTACATCAGAATCAGATTTATTGTCCAGGTATGCTTACACACACAAGGAATTTAACTTTGGTGAACTGTGTTCTCTTATGAACAGGTACAACATTAAATATCAACAATAAACATAATAAGAAAAGACTAATATTTACATGACTAAATATGAAACAGTGCAGTGGTGAATAGTGAAAAAGATGCTCAAGTAACATGATAAGTAAAATGCAGTTATGTGACAGATGAGTCAATTAAGATGTAAATTACAGTATTTACATAAATAAGTGTGTGTAGATTGATCATTTAAATTAAATAATATATATATACATATGTGTATATTCACAGTGACGGTTGGTTTAGAGTCATTATATAGACATAGAAAAGAATACTAAGAAAACCAGCCAAACCCACATTTTAAAGGGTCAGCAGACATTTTTACTTTAGCATTTTTCTCTTAAGAAGTCATCCAACAGATTCAAGAGGGAAAATGTCTTCAAATGTTTTATCACAGCTTACTATAATACTTACTTTTTCATAGGCATTTTCAAGAAATTCAATGGGACTTTTCCCAAAAGCAATGGCATGACCCAGGAACGGGATGCTGGAGGGAATGTAAGGTGGGTATTTCTGCAGGAGAGAAACATGATATATTATAAGATGATGTACAGATAGTAAAATGTGTTCCAACAACAACGGAGGTCTTGCTCTTACTTACCAGATGCTCGTCGGTGTTGGACTGTTTAAGCAGCAGTTTAGTAATGTAACCGATGGTGAGAGTGATGACAGAGGCAGCCAGCACCACCGAGGTCAGGTTGTCAGACACTTTCCCGACTGTTTCCCCGAGCAGTTTGCTGCTCAGTTCATACAGATGCAGAGTCATTTTTTGCTTCCTCTCCACAAAACCACCGATCACCGGAACAACTTTAGGTCTTGAGGAAATCCGCTTGATAGTTGTGTGATTAATGATCACACATTTAAACGTCCATCGGAACAGCAGTCCTTCTGATGATCATGTTAGAGGTTGGTTTATAATATTTCCTCTACAGCTCTACCTGTAAATACTCGCCCTGCCCCCGCCTGACCAGTGCAGGCTTCCTATTGGCTATTCACCGCGTGTCCATCAACCGGCCGCCGCTCTGATTGGTCGCTCGTTCCTGAACCGATGTCTGGCTATATGATGTCACTGCAGCAGGGCCAAAGACTGTATGCAGCTCATGGGCAGGCCGAAGAAAACACTGCGACATGGACTGTTGATGGTGTTTGATTTTAAGTTATTGAATATTGACGTCTTACTCATTTGTCTCATTGCAACACGTTACTCAAATATATTTAATTCTATATAAATGTAAAACAAATCCACAAATAAAAAAATAAGATTCACAAATGTATTTCTGATTCACACAGAAATATTTATAGTTTTGTATATATGTAATAGAAATCCACAAATATACAAACTGTTTGTCATTTGTGAACCACACTGCATTTGTGTGTGGGATTTTTGAGACTCCCCTGCCGTGGTTAGATTCACAAATGCATTTTTTTCAGCAGGGAAATGTCTGTAGCCAATCAGATTCAGCTGTGGATTTGTTTTACATTTGTTTAGAATGGAATATATTTGTGTGTGCATTGAAATACATTTGTGAATCCTTCCGTGTGCATTTGTGAATATTGAGACCGATCTAACTCCATACGTGACTGTATGTGAATAAACATGACTCGTACAGTGTTACAGAGAGGTAAGGAAAAATAAATGACAACTATAAACACTAATCATTTATTTAAAAAGGTTGAGGAACAGGAAAGCTTCTTAGAACTAGTAGGACAAAAACAGACAGTGCTCTTTGGTTGAGGTCATGAGAAAACCTTCAGATCTAGAATAAAAGGTTAAACTTGACTTTATTAATTTGGCAAGTTATTAAAGACTAAAAAAGTATTGCAGGAAATTTGGCCGCACATATTCAACACTGGAGAATAAACTAAAGGTATTATCTACATATTTTCAAAATGGTAAATTCAATAACTTGAGTAAACGAATAATTTTCTAAATGCTCAAATGAATATGTCCAACTGAAGACCCACAAAAAAACATATGAAAAATAAAGCTACATAATTGTATTGCCTGAATATTAGTTTTAAGTTAAGTAAACTTCAGCATTGACGTAATGATACACACAACATACAAATTAAGTTAAGTTTTACTAATGTTTCCTGTTTTTTCTCTCCTATAGACGACTAATTCCTCTTCATGTTTCCAAATCCTTTAAACTTGAATCCTTTAAATCTTTATAAGATTTTTGTTTATTCTTTAAAATTAAAGAAAATGTGGTTTGAATTTTACAATAAACGCTCTGATGGAAAGGTGAAGTTGCATTCAGTTTATTAAAACAAAACATTAAATAAACAATATTTACATGCACTCAAAATATATGTCAGATATCCTTTTATAAAATGGAGGTGTTTTTTTTTTTTGAGAGGCTAACGTTTGCTCTTCATCCAGAGTTATTGCGTTCAGCTGAGAAGTGAGAAGAACCTGCACTTGGATCTTTGGCAGCTGTGGTTGAATTCAACAGTTTTTCAGCCGTATGCATATTTGTCCATTATGCCTTTATCGTTTGCAGTCATCTGTCCACTCAGCTTCATCAAGAGCTTCACAATAAGGCCAGCCTGAAGGGAAAGAAAGAGCACAAGAGAGGCTGTTTGAGAACATTGATACTTGATGATACTCGTCTATACTGGACAAGTTAAAGTTACTGACTGCTCCTTTAAACTTCACATGTAAATCATAAACAAGAAACTATTTCAAACAGCAGCCTATAAACATCCCGGCACAGTTACCTGTTTTGTGTGCACAATGAAGTTCATTTTGTTGTCCCCGCTGTGTATCTGGAAGTACTGGTCAGCATGCCCGAGCTGCCACATGAACGTGCTGTACTCTAAACTGATGAGAAGGACCTGGGAGTGAAGGGATGTTACACATTATTATACTATTCAGTTAAAACCCAAAACAAAACAAACTAAGAAGTCATTTACTCGACTCTTAAAAACTGAATATCAGAAATCATCACAAAGATAAGCCACTACAAAGTGTGCGTTCAGGAATAGCTCTCTCTAAACTCCAATCCTGACAACAAACCTCTCCTCTGAAGCCTCATCTAAGCTTTCCTGCAGACTCTTTATTTGTTTTCCTCATGAAGCTTTAAGGTTGGAAAGATCATGATATTCACACAAAGTATCACAACTTTTGATTGCAGCAAAAGGCGGTTTAAGAAAGTGAAATATTGTTCTTAAGGAAGCCTCAAAACATCAAATGGAAAATGTACACATTTCTCCTGGATACAATACCTATATAATAAAATAAATATTGGGACATTTTGTGCATCAAAAAAGTGTCTAAAATATTACTTTGAGCACCTTTCTTCGCCCTGCACGAGTTAATCTGTCTGAAATAAAGTAAATAACAATGTTTCCTGTTTACAGTACTAAACATTAAACTGCCACGCATGTGTGCAGCAGAAGCCAGCTTTAATATTTTCCTAAAACACTGCCTACATAAAAATGTACTTTTTGTAAATGAGAGCGATTATACACTGAATTTGAGATTCAATTATTGTTTGCTCTTGAGGAAGTATATTCTTTCCATTTTAAATATCTCCCTTTCAGCTTAGAACATTAAACTTAGCGTATACGCAAAGTTTTACACACAGAAAATAAAAATGGCCGATACCTTAGTCTCCATATTCATGAGGTGCAGCCCCTTTGTGTTGACCCCCACGTAGACTCGGATGACCTTGTGGTTGCTGGCGCTGGCCTTGGTGTAGACCTGGCCTGTGAAGAAGGCTGCTCCATAGGTGGGGATGTCCCAGCAGTTCTGCAGGAAGAGTCGCTGCAGGTGGTGCATCTCTTTACTGACGCCCTCGCTGGTGCTCAGAGCCTGTCAGAGACGAGGAGAAAAAAACCTGTCAATCAAGCAAGCAGTTGGATTTCAGTAAAACACTGTCAGATTTTTATTTTTATTTTTTAATAAAAGCTTCAGTCATACTTTGTATTCATGCAGGATCCTGTTTGTCCAGTGGTACGCTTTACTTTTCACCTTGGATATCGGCACAATAGATTTGAGGTTTTCCTCGCTATTAAGAAAACAAAAAGAGAAATTCAGTCTTCTATTTCACACACAATTTCATATTTTTATTACTATGCAAAAATAATAGCTTCACACAGAAATTATTGCTCATATGTTAGTGTATTTATAAACAGAAACAGGGCTGTACTTGAGGAATCCTTGTTTGTGTTTCTTGCTCTCATAGTTGCCGTAGATGATCTGCAGGAGGAGGCTGGCGAGTGTGATCAGTTTGCTGTCCGGAGCGGGAAAGAAGCCTTTGAGGAGGCAGTGACGGGCCTCGTCGAAAAGGATGAGGATGGCCAGAGGATCCTCCACCTGGAACAAAAACAGAGAGCAGCACCTGGCAAGTTATTCAACTGTGCTTGTTATTGGTTATGTGTGTGTGTGTGTGTGTGTGTATACGTGTATGCATGTATATCTCTATAATAACTGCATGCATGTAAACTTATTCACTACATGTATATGATATTGATACGCATTCTATATTGATACATATGTGTGTATGTGTATATTTAAAATTATATATATATTTATTAGCTCTCTTTTTATGATGGTCACATTATTACATTTATATAAATGTATTTTCTTTCCATTAATGTTTACATGCATATATACTTTTTTTTTCTTTCCCGAACTCATTTTTCATTTATTTATAAATATATATATATATATATATATATATATATTTTTTTTTTTTTTACTTGCTACTCCCCACTAAGTTCCGCACTTTAATGCATTATGCTGTCACGAACACATTCACACCTTTCTAACACACTACCTGAACATAAAAACCATTGCTTGACCTTCATCTCATTCAAATGTATTTGTCTGTATTGTTGCTTTGAAGCTTATGTTTTGCTATTTTATCTGTTGTATTTTTTATTTATTTTTGTCTTTGTGTATTTGTCCTCGCTTTAGTTGTCATGTCTGTTATGTCTATATATTCTTGTTTCATTTTGTTCACTTTATCACCAATTAAAAAAAGTTATTCAACCGTCACATATTCCTAGTTTCACCTGTTTGTCTCTTAAACTCTAAAGTGAGCTACCTTTTTCTCAACCTCGAGAGGCAGTCGTACGTCTCTCCGGAGGAAGAGCTGAGGTGATTCCCTCTGAGGATCCAGCACCGTAAGGTCCGTCACGATCTCCGTCCAGATCCGCAGGTGCTGCAGGGGCTTGTGATACGGCTTCAGCTGCAGGTCTAAAACACAGAATCAACATCGGTGTGACTTTTCTGGGAGAAAAAAAATAAAGTTTGTTAAAATGTCTCCACTAAGAAGTTGAATGGAGTAATGCACATATGATACTTTTTACAGTGTGGGTGTGTTTATAGGTGAACTCACGGAGGTTCTCGGAGCAGATCCAGATGGTGAAGTACTGCTGGGTGTCCTGTGAGAGACGCATGCCTTCCATGATCTGCTGCACTGTTGTGTTGTTGCCGTGCTTCAGCTCCACTGAGCGATATGAGCCGTCCATGCGGTAGATACGCACCTTCTCATACTGTAAAACACACAAACACAACATGAACAATGAAAATAAATAAAGTTTAAGTGCTTTCTTGTGGAAAAAAAGCAAAAAAAAGCCACAAGACAATTTTGGATGTAGCCAAGGAAATAGCGCCATCTAGTGACATGCTGAGTTATTGCCATCATGTACTAACACAAGGACCTTGTTTAATATTATGTAACAAATTTACAGTTGGACACTGGCCTTTCATAAATAGTTCTAATTATGTAGAAGTAATGGTAATCTTATATACATATTGTGTAATAATTTAAATAAAGCTTTTAAACTGGTCACAGTTTGGTGTCATGTCTGCAGCAGTAACTTCAGTGTTTTCTGTGTAACTCACGGGTTTGGTGTTTGCTTGTTGCAAAAGCTTCATGGCCTCCTCCCATTCATTCTGTTTGTTCTCCTCACACACTTGCAGAGGGGATCTCTTTTGTTGGTCTTCTATGTGCTGCAAGAGGTAAAGACATCGTCCATAACCACCAGGTCAAAGACCCTGTCTGTCTGTAACATAACACAGCTACTAACTAAGTCAAATATAATTCAAATTCAAATAACTTTATTTATCCGTTAGGAATTTCATTTGTGTAAAAGAGCATCAGTGCGAATACAGCTAGACACAAAAACAACAACAGAAACACACACACACACACACACACACACAAGTGGCTCTATTAAAAGCATGATAAATGGGTCATAAATAATTGTTATAAGTGGTTAAATGAGTGGTGTTAAAAATAAATAAGAAATAGATCACTTGTTCATGAGTCTGATAGAGCTGGGAGCAAAGCTTGACATGGCTCGATTAGTCTGGAAAGTGAGATCTGTGGCCTGAGGGGAGACGGTTGTAGAGATGGCAGAGTGTGTGTGTGCTGTCTGAGGCTATGTGTTGGCCTTTTAGTTTTGTTCTCCTGTTGTAGAAATCACAATAACAACATTACTTTTTAACTTGAGGGTATCAAACAATCAGGAGTGAAAAATAGCAAATATTCTATTGGAGGAGATGTAGAGTGGTCAGCATATCAACACTGTCCAAGCCCTCTTGTTTATTATGATTTTTTTTGCATTCAGATCCAGTTGAAGCAAAAATAACAATGATCTTATTTTAAGGGAGACAGTCCCTGTAATCCTACATGTTCCAGTCTTCTGTAACTCTTGAATAGATATAACATTGAACAGTTTTAAAACGGTGCATTTTACTCATTTTAATGTCATCAAGGGTCGTCAGAAAATCGTCCATAGCAGCTGTGCAAACTTTGTGTTAAGACCTCATTCTGTTTCTTACCCTGTCGATCTCGGGGTGCTGCAGCAGCAACTGCACTATCTCCGCGTGTCCTCCCCTGGCTGCAAAGTGCAGAGGGGAGCTGAGCTGTCCGTTCAGCAGGTTGGGATTACAGTTTCCTTTCTCCAGCAGCAGTTTGGTCGCCTCAACTTTACCGTGCCTGGATGGAACCACACAAAAAACCCCAACCATAACTTAATACAGACAAGACGAACCAAACTAAAAGAAGCAAAATAGGACATTTGGATTCCTGTGACGTTCCTGGACTCACCAGCAGGCGTAGTGAATAGGAGCCCAGTGGTCACTGTCCAGCTGCTTGACGGAGAAACCGCTTTCCAGAAGCTTGGAGAGCAGCTCCACGTCTCCTTCACAGGCGCTGCGGTGGAGAGGGAAGTCATCGACCCACTGCCGCTCCCTGCAGAGACTTATGTTAATACAGTATCTTTAACAGGGAAACAATGCTCGGCATGCAAGAGTCACTCCTCACTTGTCTTCTGTCACACAGTTGGCACCATGTTGCCACTTCTCTCTCTTTGGGATCTGGATCTTGGAGTAGTCGGGCGCCCCGAGTCCAAAGTACGGGTTGATGATAACTTTGTCCACCTGCAAACAAAAGATTGCATGGGTAGGGAAATTCTAATTTTAATTTTTTGAAATTTGTGCATCAAAAACTCTCCATCCATGTTTGATGAGGTATCATCTGGGGCTGAAAGGAGCTCACTCACTCGGTTGGTGTACTGCAGATCGGAGCCGTAAAGCGGGTTGAGGATGCACATGTCCGCCTTCTCCAGCGACATCATCTTGCTCTTGATCTCCAGAGCCGTGTAGCCCATGTGCAGACCCTCGTCGCTCGGTTTGCCCTCGGTGCCATAGGCGGGGTTACTGACGTTGGTCTTCACCCGCTCCACAGGTGCTGGTCTGAACAGAGCAGGGACGGCATGAGGCACTGTGTGCTGCTCTGCTAACCATCTGTGGAAGACAAAAGAGACACATTTTATATCTTGGTCTCCCTGAAAAAGCCTCATCCATGACCACATTCTCAAATCTCTCCTCACTTGTCTAAGGCTAGGAGCATCTTGGAGGTGATGGAGCAGAAGTGAGCGCTGGTCTCACTGCACACCCGCATGATGTCCTGGAAGCAGTAGAAGCTCGGGCTGCCGGGAGTGTAGACAGGCTTGCTGTTGTCTGTTCAGAAGGATCTGATTTACAGCATGTACAGCTTATGACGTTTTCCCCCTAATATCTATGCCTTCATTTCAGTGAGTTTGATTCTTCTTTTTACTCACCTTTAACACTGACTGGCACAACAAAAAGAGATGCCTCTTTGCCTTCATTGTCTCCGACGAGGGGGAATTTCTTCATATGCACAACACGCTTTCCTAAAAGCAAAAAACTCAGTCAAGTCAAGATCAGTGGTTCTCAAACTTACAGGTCAACTCAAGGGCATGTGCAGTCAGTAACAAGGTGCACAAGCTCCCTCTAGAAGTCAGTCATCCACGAGAGTGTGAGTGTGAGAACTGACCTATGAAGCCTTGGTTATTGGATAAAGGTCGGATTTTTTCATCAACATAATCCAATATAGATTTGGATTTGTCTCCTCCTGTTTGGATCTTTGTAGCCAGCAGGACTTTCTTTCTTTTCTTCTCCTTCCCTTCCAGAGGCACTTCAATCAGCAGGATCTGTACACACACACACACACACACACACACACACACAGGAAATATGGAGTTGATTTAAATACACTATACTAAAAAACAGCCAATAAGGCTGTGTGATCATCTATGTAGATGTTTTTTTGAGTCCAGCATGTGATTGTTTGTCACACCCAGCACATTTACCTCGTAGGCTTTGGCTCTGTACTCCTTCGAGCTCAGGCTGACCTGGCTCTTCGGGCGAATGACAGCAACGAACACATCCTCCAGGCTGTCCTCGTTGCCCATGCTGCTGACTTTCCCTCAGTCCTGACAAATCATGCTCCACAAGGGCCAAATGCTGTGGAGAGGCATCCCTGAAACAGATCACCACAGAGGGAGTAAGGTTATCGTAGTGGAGTTATTGCGTGCTGATAAGACTTGACATCCAGTTTAATTCCAGCAAGGTCGCGAATAAAACAATAACCACAGGCAGCAGCTATGTGAAGAGTATGTTGGTAATATCTATTGATGTGTTATACAATATGTAGGCTAATGTTACATTACAAGTTAAAAATATATATAAATCAAATTCTTGGCTCAGTCACAATTAATAAAAAAAGTACTAAACATTCTCTAAGTTAAGCATCTCACATGCTGCTTTCCTAACTTATATATAATAATTATATCTTTTGAAAAACAAAACAGCTCAGCTAAAATTGTCTGCATCACCTACAGTACATATGGTTATAAGTATAATCCACTTTATCATAATTTCTAAAGTAGTCTCTTCATGTTTCATTTCTGTTCTCATAAAAAATTAAAGCTCCTCTGAGGAACTTTAAGTTTGAGTTGATTTTGGCGCCCCCCTGTGGACAAAGCAGTAAGTCTTATGTCTGCTGATCTTGTCCTCACATGAAAGTAGAGTTTATTTATTTGTTTATTCTTTACAATAGAACAAAATCGAATCCTGCTTATGTTAATGGTCAAATAGAATCTTTGACAAATAAATACATAACAGGTTGCTGAGGCAGTGTGTAGTTTATCACATTTCTGGACATTCAAAATCAAGTATAGAAATAGGAAACCTTCTCATTGGTGATGGTTGACTTCGCATGTAGGTAATAAAGATGCATCAATATCAATATAGGCTATTTCATAACTAGCTAAAAACTCTTCACAGTGGCTTAAAATGAGAGAGGCTTTTAGCACCTGGATATTATTATTATGATGTATTTATCCGGGTTCTACCATCAGCACAGGGTAGGCTGCATGTTTTATGAACACGTCAAAAACACAACCTCACCGTTTTTTACTGTGACAAAAATAACAACTCAGAAAACAAGTAATAAAGGAAAAATACCCTGCTGTTTTCTTTGCCTGTGTTAAATATTAGGTCTATTGTAAGTTTGCATATAAACTTGTTGAGTGGAGATGATGGTTCCGCCCCGGAAACCAAACTCTCTGTTGTCTTTGAACAGTTTAAACATTACTAGCGGATATAATGTGCTATTTTTTAAGACGTCATGCTGTGCTGCTGGAAACAAACCAGTCTTTGATATATCTCCTGTCAACAGCAAATACAACTTTGTCAGACAGAATCAGCAGCTGTAGCCGGGATGCTAAAGTCATCTTCTCCACCCCCGCTTTTTTCGCTCGATGAAGCGGCTGAAACTTACCGAAAAACTACGTGACTTTCCCTCCAACAGACCAGACACTGCTTTTCTCAGCTCTAATGGAGATTCATGTTGTCAAATGTACCAGTCAACAGCCGATATATCCACTGCGGTTAAACTTTCAGTGAGGAGTGTGTTTGGGTTGAAGTAGTGGGCCTGCCTGTAACTTGGGGCAGAGAGACAAACAGAGGAATCGAGTTACGTTTCATTTCAGCAGCTCTGGTCGGGAAACAGAGGACTCTGGCGGTGAGGGGGACTCAGTGCGGGACTTTAAAATACTTACTGCTGGGTCTTTCATTGTTTCCAAACAAATGGTATTCTTATTCTTCATGGTGAGACCCACTGGGAGTAGGCTACTACATGTTTGTGTGACTCTGTTCCACAGACTACTTTACTTTAACAGTTAACATGGAAGAGGCTGCTCCTGTGTCCAACCTGCTCAATCTGCTGTGTAACAGTGGCAAGCCCTTTTAACATAAAAACAGTCTGGCTGACAAGTAGCAATTTAGTTTTCACTAGTGGAAATTACATTTCAACATGTCGAAATTAAATTTTGACATGTTGAAATGTTAATTCAAGATATTTGTAATTACATTCTTACATGTAATAATTCCAGGTCAAGATATCAATAATGTAATTTCGACTAGTAAGAATTGCATTTTAGATATCTAGAATTAATTTATGATATCTGTAATGTTAGAACAATTGTATATATCATAAATGAACTTTGTCACTAGTAAGAATAGAATTGTTGATATCAAGAATTAACATTTTTACTAGTGAGAATTGAGTTGTAGATATCATGAATTAGAATTGCGACATGTCAAAATGTCATTATAGATATGTCGACTTTGAATTACAACATGTGAAAAAGCAATTTTTGATATCTACAATTGCTATTACCGCTAATACTTAAATGTTAAAAGGGCTTGCCATAGAGTAACAGTTTATTTTACTACAGTGCATTGATGGAGAGATGGCCTTCAGTAAAATGGCCTCCAACACTCAAGAAACTGGACCAAGGTTGTAATAGTTTTGTATTTTTTAATAGTTTTGATTCTTATTTTGCTATGACTGTGTGTTCTCCATTTCCGTTTAGCTTTAGTTTTTATTTTTAAGTTTAGATTAGGATCTACTTTTGTGTATAGCTTTGTTTTAGTGTTGTTTTTTTTGGCTCTATGTTGAATGTCTCATACTGTATCCTCCAAACAGTAGAACAACCTTTTTTTTTTAAACAGCACATAATTCACAGAGACGTTTTCTCATTACTGTACAGCTGTTGGTGTGAAATGTAAATTAACTTCATTACTGTATGGTTACAATGTGACTTTAAGTGTCCATTAAGTTAGTGTGCTCTCTGTGTTTGTGTTTTATTCACGGTGAAGGATTTAAACATGTTCATAAGTCTGTTTGCAGGACCAGAGACAACAGATCCAACTTCTTGTAACCTGCAGCCCACACCTTCTAACCCCAAAATGAGACAGTTTGAAAAAAGTATGAATCTGTTCATCATAGACCTTCTTTGTAATTCAAATGATTCTATATAAAGTATCTATTGCTGTATACTCAGTATCTGGCTTGTTACCATCATTTTTCAATAACTGCAATTTGGTTCATTATGGTGCGATTGAAATATACCTTGGAATTTTTTTTAATTCCAAGGTATATTTTTTTTAAATATATTTTTTAGTGCATTACGTCTTTGTTTGCCACTGGTCTCGTAGAATCATCTAGTGTGTGCATGCGTTCTGAACTTAACTATGTGTTAAAAAAATCTGTTCTACAGACAGCTTTATTTTGATTATACTAACTAATCAACTCATTTTCAATGTACAAATGATTGTTTTTGGAGTAGATTAAATGGCTTTTATAAAAAAAATACAACATAAGCAACAATTTACTTGTACATTTGTATTTTTAATTCTTCTGTGTATAAAACTTCATCTCATTTATACATTTACAGTTACACAACAAGACAATTTATAGTTTTGTGATTGGTCCACAGCTGACAGTTCAGAGGAGATGCTCTCTCTGCTGCTCCGTCTTCAGGAGGACTCTGGTTTTGGTTTGCACTGACTCAGCACCTCCTGCATCTTGTCCTGGATGTGCACTACCCTCTTGGCCCACTTCTCCCACTTCTCCCGCACCTCTTCTTCATCGTCCTCGGTAACAGCCGTGTAGGCCTTCAGGGCGATGAGGCCTATGTGGAACAGGTGGGCGATGTGTGAGCAGCGCCGTTCCATGATCTCAAAGTCGCCGTCGCAGTTGTCCATGTACACCTTCAGCAGGGTTCTCCCAAACAGCAGGCTGGTGCCCATGACTCCACGGTAGTACACATCCAGACTCAGATCACTCTTATCCCTCTGGTAGATCTCCTTATATTTCTCAAAGTAGCGCTCTGTGTTCTCTGGATCTTTCTTCACCTGAGCCACCATGTTGTTGAAGGCGGTGTACTGGTGCTTGATGTACTCCTCGTACTTCCCGTAGGTCTCGTTCACCTCGTCAATGCGGATCTTCCTCAGGCATTGCTGATTCTTTTGGGAGATGGTCTCCAGTTTAGAGTTAATTTCCTGGAAGTCCTTTTCCAGAGCGTGGCTCTCTTCGTCCACCAGTCCTTTGCGGGCCACCCCGACCAAGGAGGCGACAATGCCGAAGATGGGGTTGAAGGAGGAGGCGAAGGAGGACACTTTCTCCACGCAGCTTAGCACCTTCACTGCAGTTTGCGTGATCTTTTCTGAGTCTGCCATCACTGCTGCTGACGCTCTAATGCCCCGGTATGGTTCACACAAAGAGTCAGGAGGCTGCAGAGATACACAAAAAAAATAGAAACATATATGTTAGAAAACTGAGTCGGTGCATTCCCATCTGAACACAGGCTAAGAGCTCAAGCTAAAGCATCGGTCACACAGGGTCTCAAGTGTCCAACGTTGCTTCTTCGTCTTGCATTACCGTCATTATTAAGCTCATGGCTAACTCTCAGGTTGCTGATAGTTTGGCCTAATGTGGGCAGGAGAAGCTGGAAGCAATCAATCATTTCATTATCTAGGAATATGTCAAACATTTTCCTGATAATATAATGAACTCTTTGGTCTTTAATATGTAAGAAAATGAAGAAAGTGTCAGATAAATATTTAGTTTAATTTTACAAAGGACTAAGAAGACTAGTGAGTGTTCAAATCTGAGAGGATGGAAACTTTTTTTCTTATATCAGCTTTAAAAGAAATGTCTCAATCATCAGAATAGTGGCCCTATATTTTTTCAATGAAATTTATCAAGTAAAATGTTTTAATTTAAAAGGAGACTTGTTTTGTTTTTCAGCCACATCGTTGCACAGAATAGAGAATTAATTAGCAGTTTCTGTGTTTTGGGAAAGTGAGTTTTTCAACATAGTGTTCACAAAAGAAGCACAACTATGGATAACGTCAAAAGTAGCACTGGTATTGGAAACCACAGACTCTAATCCAACTCATTATTCTCATAGTTTTGACATATTCCTGCTGGAAAAATAACTCCGGGACAACAGTGGGTGTGTCTTTGTAGTAACACAAGAAAGACTGGAATCAAACACAGGTTTAAGACTTGATGAGCTTTCACATGTCATCCTCAACAGTTAAGATCACTTCCAGGGGCCTTTTGAAACCTTCAGCTGTGACTTAAGATGTGTTTTCCAGCCTGACTCTCTTATTTCCTGATTCCCAAACAACACACACTCAAGAATCAACCATCTTCATTTCATCAACCCGAGCTGACTCAGCTTTCACACAGCCTGCATACTCCCTTCAGATCATAGATTCATACTGAAACAGTAAATGTTCACTCACCAGAGATGAATCTGTTTCTTGTTCTTCTTTCTACTGCAGCCGTCTGACTTTCCTCTCCACCATTGTCCTCACTATTAATATAAGAACAGCCCCCTCCTGCCTGAAAGGGGTGTGCACAAGAGGATAAGTTAAGATAAGATAATACTTTATCTTATCAACCCTGATCATACATGTAAAATTTGAAGCAGATCAGATAAAGTATATGAGAGTTACAGCCACTTCCTGTTTGATGGCGAATGATGAATCCGTATGCCGAGAGCATTAGACGTAGGTGTTTGAGCTTCAAAGTGTTGTATGGCCAGGTTGTTTGCATAGTCCACACCAATTTTGAGCGGGAAATTAGCTACCTTGTAGCAATGGCTAATGCTAATTGAGAAGCAGTAACTTCCTGTTGTCAACAGGTGGCGCTGTGACTAAGCAAAAAATGTCAATCATGGATGTGTTCAGGGCGGGCCATGTATCATCGCATGGTCCATGCTCGGGCCCTAATAATAATTCCTTGGGTTTCAAGATGGTCCTACACACTTGTCAGTGCTTCGGGCCCTAATAAAAAAAATGTTTGGTTCTTTGGATTCCAATAGGGTCTTCGCTCACTCTGTGAGTGCTCGGGCCCTAATAATCATTTGACTGACCAGTTCTGGGGCAATACTATTCACAAATTTAAACATTAGTTTAATAAACGAGACAATTATTAATTTGTCAAAGATTCAATTAGATTAGATTCAATAATGCCACTACGATTACAGATATTTAAGCTACATGATATCATGGTTTATTGACATTGATTCAATGGTTGAGGCACATCAGATCTCTCCTTGGAGAATGAATAACGTACGCAGTAAACAAGTAAATATGATTATTCAGGCATGAGCTTTCGGTCTTGGAAATACTGTTCTGTGCATCTTTGTAGCCATTTTGCATGATTTTGGCAGTTTTGCGCCTCTTTATGGTAACATTGTAAAGTCTTTGAGGTCATCAAAGGATGAAGAATGAAGAATGAATATTAATGACCTTTATGACTTGAGACAACAAGGAGTGTAAAGCAATACAAGACGAGCACTGCTCAACGGTTCTTTTGTTGTTTTATAGCAATGACAATAAAGATCTGTTCTATCTATTCAATACACTTGGCCTGTTATTCATTCAGGACTTTGACCATTGTGCAACGTGTGGAGCTAATTGTTACATCTTTGGCCGTCTGGCAACAGCGTTGGATGTAGGCGTTTGAGCTTGAAAGTGTTATATGGCCAAGGTGTTAGCATGGTCCACACCAATTTTGATGGCGAAATGAGCTATCGTGTAGCAATGACTAGTGCTAATTGAGAAGCAGTAACTTCCTGTTGTCAACAGGTGGCGCAGTGACTTATCCAGAAATTTCAAACATGGATGTGTTCGGGGCGGGCCCTGTATCATGTTTTACACATTTGGATATGATTGAACACTGCATGTGCAGAGATATAAGGATTTACTTTTTTGGCAAGTTGCCAAAATGCACATCAAACTTTGCATGCACGCCACGGCCACGTCCTTTGAAGAAATAACGTGCAGAGCACAATTGGATATGTTGAACATGTCTAGAACACACTGACACTGAGTTTTCGTCGAACGGATGAACGCTCTCGGACAAATTCGTTCAAATAGGTAGCACAAAATCGTTGTAAGAGCCATATTCATGTTTTTGGGTCAAGCTGTAAATAATTTTTACTATTGTGCCACTGGGTGTCACTGTCCTATTGTTTAAGTCACAGGTATATATGTACGTCACTTGTCAAGGTATGGGAGGTGTTTGACCCTGGAAGGGCTTATGGTTTTTGACCGCTGAGGCGGCAGGCGGCATGGAGAAACCGCAGCTGTATTGTTTGTTTGTATGTTTGTTTAGTTCAAATGAATGGAAACTGATGGACGCTGTATTCACTTCGCATGGTGCTGCAATAAACGGATTGTATTATGCTGCAAACCAAAGACACGCCTGCAGAAATGTTATTGATCAGCAAACAGCAAACGGTATCGTATTGACCTACATACTACAGTACAGTGCGTCAGCCAGGTCACTCCTGGGAGTCAAAACACATCGGCAGCTTTAGTATTTGACTAAGCTTCTATATTGTCAAAAACCTTGCCAGTTGGAACTTTGTTTGAAAACCCTTCGGCACGTTTGGCACGTTAAGGAGGAGGCACATGAGGACTGGGAGAGCTACTGGTAGCAAATAGCAGCCAGCGGCTATCGTTGGTGGAGGACGTTTTCGGACCAATTGAGGTCAAGCGAGGAAGAAGCCTGTGTAAACGCTATGAAGTGATTTTTACCTGTTTAGCAAGCAGAGCTGTTCACCTTGAGGTTGCAAACTCACTGGAGACTGATGCATATGTAAACGCTTTGCGACGATTTATAAGTAGAAGAAGCCAAGTTTCTCATATGCTGTCCGACAATGGCACCAATTTTGTTGGCGCAAATAAAGAACTGAAGGAGGCTCTCGCTGCACTTAACCACGACCAGATCCAAAGAGTGTTCATTCCAGCTGGAGTGGACTGTAAATTCAATCCTCCAGGAGCATCTAATTTTGGCAGAGTTTGGGAGCGCATGATTCGAACAATCAGACGTCCAAGCAGTCAAAATGAGCTCAAAGCGGCGGAAGAATAATAATAATTCCTTGGGTTCCAATAGGGTCCTACGCACTTGTCAGTGCTTCGTGCCCTAATAATCGCTAGGGTTTCAAGAGGGTCCTCGCACGGTCTGTGCTCAGGCCCTAATAATCATTAGGGTTTCAAGAGGGTCCTCCGCACTTGTCAGTGCTTCAGGCCCTAATAAAAAAATGTTTTGATTCTTTGGATTCCAATAGGGTCTTCGCTCACTCTGTGAGTGCTCAGGCCCTAATAATCATTTGACTGACCAGTTCTCGGGCAATACTATTCACAAACTTAAACATTAGTTTAATAAACGAGACAATTATTAATTTGTCAGAACTTAAGAGGTAAAATTAAGAGTTAGTGGCTTTGAGGTCATCAAAGGATGAAGAATGAAGAATGAATATCAATGACCTTTATGACTTGAGACAACAAGGAGTGTAAAGCAATACAAGACGAGCACTGCTCAACGGTTCTTTTGTTGTTTTATAGCAATGACAATAAAGATCTGTTCTATGTATTCAATACACTTGGCCTGTTATTCATTCAGGACTTTGACCATTGTGCAACATGTGGAGCTAATTGTTACATCTTTGGCCATCTGGCAACAGCGTTGGATGTAGGCATTTGAGCTTGAAAGTGTTATATGGCCAAGGTGTTAGCATGGTCCACACCAATTTTGATGGGGAAATGAGCTATCGTGTAGCAATGACTAGTGCTAATTGAGAAGCAGTAACTTCCTGTTGTCAACAGGTGGCGCAGTGACTTATCCAGAAATTTCAAACATGGATGTGTTCGGGGCGGGCCCTGTATCATGTTTTATACATTTGGATATGATTGAACACTGCATGTGCAGAGATATAAGGATTTACTTTTTTGGCAAGTTGCCAAAATGCACATCAAACTTTGTATGCACACCACGGCCATGTCCTTTGAAGAAACAAATTTCTGGGAAATTTTGATGAGTTTTCACAGACGTTCAAACTGTCAAAAATGAGCTCAAAGCGGCAGAAGAATGATAATAATTCCTTGGGTTTCAAGAGGGTCCTACACACTTGTCAGTGCTTTGGGCCCTAAAAATAAGGAAATTTGGCTTTAATTATACATCGATTGCACTGTCGTAAACCAGGCATGAATTATGGATGTAAAAAAATGAACAGATTCAATGATCGTGACATTATTTGTCCAGCACATTTCAATTCAAATCAATGCCATAAAAACAGGGGGAAATACTGAACATGAAATAAAGATGGGGTTCTAAAGCTCCCGTGAAGAACTTTCAGTTTGTGTCAATTTTGGAGGCATGTGTTATCTTTCTGCTGATCTTGTCCTTAACATGTCCAGGGGACATTTTCTGTTAAGAGTGAAATGTATCAGTCATTCTGATTATTTGCTGTGAAATATGTTTCCTCACATGGCTTCTGCACCGAGGCAGTGGTTATAGGCATAACATTCAAAATATCAAAGTTGTCAGTTTTGTCATTCATGTTTTTTTTTTAGCTTTTAACTTCAGTCTGATTTAGGTTCAATAATCAAAGTGCAAAAGGAATGATGAACCTGACAAGTTAACCTTTCTGGGAAGGGTGTGTGTGTGTGTGTGTGTGTGTGTGTGTGTGTGTGTGTGTGTGTGTGTGTGTGTGTGTGTGTGTGTGTGTGTGTGTGTGTGTGTGCGCGCGCGCGCGTGTGTTTTTCCACTTATTCCAGGTGTTGAGGGACCAGATGGCTGAAACTAAAACTGTAAACGACTTTAACTTTAAATAATATCTTTTATTACATTTTGCAGCAGTAGAAAAAGTTTAAGTCAACCTTAATGTGTTTAATAAAAGTCTGCATACATGGCATGTAACATAAAGGATCTGTAACAAGTTTTACTTTCAAACAGACACTTAACAAATAACAGAACACACTATGATTTATTGATTTATATTTGACTATAGCTGGTGATAAAACATCTTTTGTATTTTTTAGAAAACTCAGCACTTTGTATCTCTGTTTTTGTTCAATATCCTAACTTTAACAACCTTTTGCTGAGTGCTGAGTTCTTCTTACTCGTCATCGACAACATATCTTTAGACTGAGACTGTAACAAGACAACGTTGTGTAAATTAAGCATGACATTTCATACCCAAGGGCATCAGAATTTACTTTGTTGCCTTTTGTACCTGCAGGAAGATTACATATAGTTAAAGCATAGACTGAGTTAAAGCCAGGTTTTAAACACAGTCCTCTTTGTTGTCCTCTAGTGGTGGCATAAAGGATTACACTGTGGCATGTAGAAGAATGTAGACAGAAATTTTGCTGCTTCTAAAGAACCCCGTTACCCACACAGTTTCCTGCAGGGTCCCTTATTTTAAAGCAGCAGATTAAGTCCAGAGGTTTGTCAAGGAGGAAAGATACACTTTTGTACCTACAGGTACAAACATACCTTATATATATCATATCAGTATCATTGATTGCTATGATAACTTTTGTACCTACAAAAAGGTACAAACCTACAGGTACAAACTCAAGAAACTGGACCAAGGTTGTAATAGTTTTGTAGTTTTTTTAATAGTTTTGATTCTTATTTTGCTATGACTGTGTGTTCTCCGTTTCCGTTTAGCTTTAGTTTTTATTTTTAAGTTTAGATTAGGATCTATTTTTGTGTATAGCTTTGTTTTAGTGTTGTTTTTTTGGCTCTATGTTGAATGTCTCATACTGTATCCTCCAAACAGTAGAACAACCTTTTTTTTTATTTTTAAACAGCGCATGAATCAGAGACACTTTGTCTCAATACAGCTGTTGGTGTGAAATGTAAATTAACTTCATTACTGTATGGTTACAATGTGACTTTAAGTGTCCATTAAGTTAGTGTGCTCTCTGTGTTTGTGTTTTATTCACGGTGAAGGATTTAAACATGTTCATAAGTCTGTTTGCAGGACCAGAGACAACAGATCCAACTTCTTGTAACCTGCAGCCCACACCTTCTAACCCCAAAATGAGACAGTTTGAAAAAAGTATGAATCTGTTCATCATAGACCTTCTTTGTAATTCAAATGATTCTATATAAAGTATCTATTGCTGTATACTCAGTATCTGGCTTGTTACCATCATTTTTCAATAACTGCAATTTGGTTCATTATGGTGCGATTGAAATATACCTTGGAATTTTTTTTAATTCAATTCATCTAGTGTGTGCATGCGTTCTGAACTTAACTATGTGTTAAAAAAATCTGTTCTGTTTTTGTTTGTTTTTGGAGTAGATTAAATGGCTTTTATAAAAAACAACAACAATTTACTTGTACATTTGTACATTTTTAATTCTTCTGTGTATAAAACTTTACCTCAATTATGCATTTACAGTTACACAATATAGCTGCAACAGATAGTGCTCTCTTAAACAAAAAACAACAAAACATGTTCATATGAGAACTAAAATGCTGCTATAACAGCATCACAGGCAGCTTTACAAAAGAAAACATGGCTTTGGATTGATATATATTATAAGATAATTTATAGTTTTGTGATTGGTCCACAGCTGACAGTTCAGAGGAGATGCTCTCTCTGCTGCTCCGTCTTCAGGAGGACTCTGGTTTTGGTTTGCACTGACTCAGCACCTCCTGCATCTTGTCCTGGATGTCCACTACCCTCTTGGCCCACTTCTCCCGCACCTCTTCTTCATCGTCCTCGGTAACAGCCGTGTAGGCCATCAGGGCGATGAGGCCTATGTGGAACAGGTGGGCGATGTGTGAGCAGCGCCGTTCCATGATCTCAAAGTCGCCGTCGCAGTTGTCCATGTACACCTTCAGCAGGGTTCTCCCAAACAGCAGGTTGGTGCCCATGACTCCACGGTAGTACACATCCAGACTCAGATCACTCTTATCCCTCTGGTAGATCTTCTCATAGATCTCAAAGTAGCGCTCTGTGTTCTCTGGATCTTTCTTCACCTGAGCCACCATGTTGTTGAAGGCGGTGTACTGGTGCTTGATGTACTCCTCGTACTTCCCGTAGGTCTCGTTCACCTCGTCAATGCGGATCTTCCTCAGGCATTGCTGATTCTTTTGGGAGATGGTCTCCAGTTTAGAGTTAATTTCCTGGAAGTCCTTTTCCAGAGCGTGGCTCTCTTCGTCCACCAGTCCTTTGCGGGCCACCCCGACCAAGGAGGCGACAATGCCGAAGATGGGATCGATGGAGGAGGCGAAGGAGGACACTTTCTCCACGCAGCTTAGCACCTTCACTGCAGTTTGCTTGATCTTTTCTGAGTCTGCCATCACTGCTGCTGACGCTCTAATGCCCCGGTATGGTTCACACAAAGAGTCAGGAGGCTGCAGAGATACACAAAAAAAAAAATAGAACCAAATATGTTAGAAAATTTTGCTTGCATTCCCGTCTGAACACAGGCTAAGAGCTCAAGCTAAAGCCTCGGTCACACAGGGTCTCAAGTGTCCAACGTTGCTTCTTCGTCTTGCATTACCGTCATTATTAAGCTCATGGCTAACTCTCAGGTTGCTGATAGTTTGGCCCAGATGTCACCAGCTGCTGCGTGCTGCCATATTGCAGAAGGAGTCACATTACACTCTAATATTTCTAACGACAGGTTGCAACAACAAGGGCTCCTGTTGAACCAATGCATGGAGCCTAAACATGTGGGCAGGAGAAGCTGGAAGCAATCAATCATTTCATTATCTAGGAATATGTCAAACATTTTCCTGATAATATAATGAACTCTTTGGTCTTTAATATGTAAGAAAATGAAGAAAGTGTCAGATAAATATTTAGTTTAATTTTACAAAGGACTAAGAAGACTAGTGAGTGTTCAAATCTGAGAGGATGGAAACTTTTTTTCTTATATCAGCTTTAAAAGAAATGTCTCAATCATCAGAATAGTGGCCCTATATTTTTTCAATGAAATTTATCAAGTAAAATGTTTTAATTTAAAAGGAGACTTGTTTTGTTTTTCAGCCACATCGTTGCACAGAATAGAGAATTAATTAGCAGTTTCTGTGTTTTGGGAAAGTGAGTTTTTCAACATAGTGTTCACAAAAGAAGCACAACTATGGATAACATGTCAAAAGTAGCACTGGTATTGGAAACCACAGACTCTAATCCAACTCATTATTCTCATAGTTTTGACATTGATCATCACCCTCAATGTTGTCCTGCTGGAAAAATAACTCCGGGACAACAGTGGGTGTGTCTTTGTAGTAACACAAGAAAGACTGGAATCAAACACAGGTTTAAGACTTGATGAGCTTTCACATGTCATCCTCAACAGTTAAGAGCACTTCCAGGGGCCTTTTGAAACCTTCAGCTGTGACTTAATATGTGTTTTCCAGCCTGACTCTCTCATTTCCTGATTCTCAAACAACACACACTCAAGAATCAACCATCTTCAGTTCATCAACCCGAGCTGACTCAGCTTTCACACAGCCTGCATACTCCCTTCAGATCATAGATTCATACTGAAACAGTAAATGTTCACTCACCAGAAATGAATCTGTTTCTTGTTCTTCTTTCTACTGCAGCCGTCCGACTTTCCTCTCCACCATTTTCCTCCCTACTTAAATAAGAACAGCCCCCTCCTGTCTGAAAGGGGTGTGAACACGAGGAAGTGACTCATGCATGCCCAGCTCTGATTGGCTGAGGGGAGTTCTTCCAGTTTCACTGCGGCCTTCAGTCCCAACGATAGGCTGCAGAACAGGCTGCACACACACAGAGTTTCCGTTCCATTGTGTTGTTAGATTGTTGGTCCCCACACCTTTCTAACCAGTATGGGTGACCAGATACGACAAAGGCCAATAGCAGAGAATTGTAATGCAGTATCACAGATACTGTTTTAAAAATGTAAATAGGATTTAAACAGAACATTAAAAGTTGCTGTAAATCCATCACTTGTAGACCTTTATAAGATGATGTAATGGGGCGGTTTTCCTAAATAACAAAATATAATTTTTCTTAAAACTGAGCCATTAACAAAACACACCGCAAAAACTTCAATCTTAGAAAGTGTATCAGTCTTTTTGAAGTGTCTTCAAATGAGACGTTCCATCTAAACTAGATTGAACATCTCATTTCAAGGCACTTAACAATTAAATCTTTAGGTGAATGTATAATGAGTGCAATGAGCTACAGATACTTATAGGTAAAAATTAGACAATACACCTGCTAAGATTTGGGTTTTTGTAGTGCACATTATGTAAAATTAGTATCAAGATGAGCTTATGCATTTTGGATTTTTAAATGATGTGGAGATAAATGGAATTTACTTTTTCATATAGTCTTTGAGAATGGACCAACTCAAAGAACAATGACTAATTAAAACCGCAAGTTCGCACCCTTGCATGTCGGGGTATGTAAGTGCAGCAGTGGTAATACTGGCATGTTGAAATAGGCATCGTAATGAAGATCACAGAAAATGTTTACGTAGAGCAGTTCAGGCTGGCACTGTCATGATACCTGTGACATTTGGAGCAAATTGAGCATTGTGTAGTACTTAGTCCTTGCAGTAGGAGGCGCTATGGTTAAAGTTGACTATTGTTAAGTCTATGTGTTCAATACATGTGTAATTTGAAATAGATCAGACAAAGTATATTGGATCAATCAATCAATCAATCAATCAATCAATCAATTTTTATTTGTATAGCGTCAACTCATAACAAGTCTTATCTCGAGACACTTTCTTTGTCTTTGGGTGTTGTTGTTCAGGCAAGCTGTCCATCAACAATCCGGTGGGGGGGGGTTGTTCTGGCAGGTCGTCAACCAACGATCTCAAGGAGCCTAAGAGAGCTCAAGAGATCCAAGGAAAGTAAGTGGTTAGTGACTGAGATTTATCTATAAGATTTATCAAAAAGGAAAGTTTTAAGTCTATTCTTAAAAATACAGACTGTGTCTGCCTCCCGGACCCCGCCCGGAAGATGATTCCAGAGGAGAGGAGCCCGATAACTGAAGGCTTTACCTCCCATAGTACACTAAGAGACTGTAGGTACCACTAGCAGGCCTGAATTCTGGGACCGTAATGTTCTCGAGGGGCAGTACGGCACTAGTAGCTCCTTAAGATAAGATGGTGCCTGGCCATTTAGAGCTTTGTATGTGAGAAGAAGGATCTTGAATTCTATTCTAGAATGTATAGGGAGCCAGTGCAGAGAAGCCAACACAGGAGTAATGTGGTCCCTTTTCCTAGTTCTAGTCAGTACACAAGCTGCAGCGTTCTGGACCAGTTGAAGAGTCTTTAGAGATCCACCATAGCACCGTCACAAAAGAGAATTACAATAATCCAACCTGGAGGTAACAAATGCATGAACTAGTTTTTCTGCATCATTTTGCGACAGGGTATTCCTGATCTTGGATATATTACGAAGGTGGAAATAGGCTGTTCTTGAAATTTGCCTGATGTGAGAGCTAAAGGACATATCTTGATCAAATAGAACTCCTTGATTCCTAACAGACAGGTTGACGGTTTCGACGCAGAAATAATTGAATTCAGCTCTGAAAGGTCGATTGGAGAAAAACTGTCTAGATTAATATCAGGTCCTGGAACTGTCTCTGCCGTATCAGACGTATCTGCAGCAGGTAAGGGCAGCAGGTTACCAATTTTGTCTCTGATGTCTAGAATTTTGTTGTTGAAAAAGCTCAGGAAATCATTACTGCTGAGGGCTAAAGGAATACAAGGCTCAATGGAGCTATGACTCTCTGTCAGCCTGGCTACAGTGCTGAAAAGGTATATAGGATTGCTTTTGTTTTCCTAGATTAGAGAGGAGTAGTAGGCAGCTCGAGCGTGACGTTTATTATGACTATCCAGAGATTCTACCGTTTTGGTAGAGCGCCATATTCTTTCAAAATTTTGCGACGTTTGTTTTAGAGTACGGGTTTCTGAGTTGAACCATGGAGCTAGTCTCTGCCGTTTTATAACCTTCTGTTTTAGGGGAGCAATCGAATCAAGAGTAACTCTCAGCGAATCCACTGCACTATCAACAAACTGATCTAGCTGAGAGGGACTAAAGCTATCATAAGAGTTTCCAACTGGGTTGAAACACAGTACTGAATCAAAAGCAGCTGAAATAACTTCCTTAAATCTAGCTACAGCACTATCAGATAAACTTCTAGAGAGCACATTTTTATTAAGCAGAGATAATTCTGGGAGGGAAAAGTCGAAAGTAATAAGGAAATGGTCTGATAGAAGAGGATTTTCTCGGAAAACTGTCAGGTTTTGGATCTCAATGCCATAAGCTAAAACAAGATCCAGGGTGTGAAACCAATAGAGTCTAATAGTGACATGAAAGCTGTGCTAAGGCTATCATTATCAACATCCACATGGATATTGAAGTCACCGACAACAATTATTCTATCACTGTGAAGGACTAAATCTGATAAAAATTCTGCAAATTCAGATAGAAATTCAGAATATTCCGAAAATTGAGCTCAAAGCGGCGGAATAATAATAATAATTCCTTGGGTTTCAAGAGGGTCCTATGCACTTGTCAGTGCTTCAGGCCCTAATAAAACATTTTTTTGGTTCTTTGGATTCCAATAAGGTCTTCGCTCACTCTGTGAGTGCTCGGGAGAGCAGGTACCTGTTAGAACACAGACAAGAAGGGTGTGGGGATCATCTGATTATTTCATAATTAGATATCCACAGATGAATACTGAGTTTAACTTTTTCTTGTTTCTCTTTGGTGTTCCACTAGAAGTGAACAGAATTTGGTTGCATACAGGAAAATAGTTCTTTTGAGGGTACAAGAGGCAGAATTCACAGCACCAAATTTAATCTTGGAACATTCCAGGTATCGTCTGATACAATTTAGCTCTGTACTATGTTGTAGTTTGTGTTGTTGAATATATAATAATATTCACTGCAGCATAACAAGGTTATTAGTGCATTTATTGTTAGCTAACTAACCAGTTAGCTATAGCCTACTAGCAAAACTATCCGTTCGCACTTGTCAGTGCTTTGGGCCTTTCCTATTTCCCAATAAGGAAATTTGGCTTTAATTATACATCGATTGCACTGTCATAAACCGGGCATGAATTATAGCTTTAAAAAAATGAACAGATTCAATAATCGTGACATTATTTGTCCAGCACATTTCAATTCAAATCAATGCCATAAAAACAGGGGGAAATACTGAACATGAAATAAAGATGGGGTTCTAAAGCTCCCGTGAAGAACTTTCAGTTTGTGTCAATTTTGGAGGCATGTGTTATCTTTCTGCTGATCTTGTCCTTAACATGTCCAGGGGACATTTTCTGTTAAGAGTGAAATGTATCAGTCATTCTGATTATTTGCTGTGAAATATGTTTCCTCACATGGCTTCTGCACCGAGGCAGTGGTTATAGGCATAACATTCAAAATATCAAAGTTGTCAGTTTTGTCATTCATGTTTTTTTTTTAGCTTTTAACTTCAGTCTGATTTAGGTTCAATAATCAAAGTGCAAAAGGAATGATGAACCTGACAAGTTAACCTTTCTGGGGAAGGGTGTGTGTGTGTGTGTGTGTGTGTGTGTGTGTGTGTGTGTGTGTGTGTGTGCGCGCGCGCGTGTGTTTTTCCACTTATTCCAGGTGTTGAGGGACCAGATGGCTGAAACTAAAACTGTAAACGACTTTAACTTTAAATAATATCTTTTATTACATTTTGCAGCAGTAGAAAAAGTTTAAGTCAACCTTAATGTGTTTAATAAAAGTCTGCATACATGGCATGTAACATAAAGGATCTGTAACAAGTTTTACTTTCAAACAGACACTTAACAAATAACAGAACACACTATGATTTATTGATTTATATTTGACTATAGCTGGTGATAAAACATCTTTTGTATTTTTTAGAAAACTCAGCACTTTGTATCTCTGTTTTTGTTCAATATCCTAACTTTAACAACCTTTTGCTGAGTGCTGAGTTCTTCTTACTCGTCATCGACAACATATCTTTAGACTGAGACTGTAACAAGACAACGTTGTGTAAATTAAGCATGACATTTCATACCCAAGGGCATCAGAATTTACTTTGTTGCCTTTTGTACCTGCAGGAAGATTACATGAAGTTAAAGCCAGGTTTTAAACACAGTCCTCTTTGTTGTCCTCCAGTGGTGGCATAAAGGATTACACTGTGGCATGTAGAAGAATGTAGACAGAAATTTTGCTGCTGCTTAAGAACCCCGTTACCCACATAGTTTCCTGCAGGGTCCCTTATTTTAAAGCAGGAGATTAAGTCCAGAGGTTTGTCAAGGAGGAAAGATTTGTCAATGTAAAACTGAAAATCACATGACTCAATCAGTTTTACTATGTATTTTTTTAAAAGATACTGAATGTTTAAAAATCAAGACATGTGATGTTAGCTTCCAACATTCACCTGGATTCAAGGTTCCTATTCAAAACATCAGGACTTCCTATCATCTACATCATAGGTTTAAAATCTGTTTTAACAGCTAACCAAATATTCCTCAGCAGGACGAGGACAAGTCTGTTATGTAAAATCTGACCTACCCGCGTAGTGATATGAGACGAGATGGGAAAACATCTGCTGACTTTTCCACGGACTACACACATGCAAACAAACATACACACACACTCTCCCTGACCC